AACCTACTGTCCTGGCAGTTATCACAACTGCTATTGGGGCGGAATGGCTTATAAAACAAAAACAGCTGGAAAATTTTGTGGCATTTGGAAGATCTTCCCTGTCGTTTGCAACATGCCAGATAGGCATCACCATCTCGGTTGTTAGTGATAGAGTGGTTGGCTGGATGCACAATGCCACACGCAGCTGACTTCTCAATCTCGTAATAAGTGAACTGGCTGAAGTTACAAGAATAACCTCGATTAGACAGCCTGGACAACATTGCAGTAACAGAAAACAAAGTCTCGGGAGTCTTCGATTGCTCAAACAAAGATGGAGTTTATGGAGATACGGTTTCAGTGAAACTGCACGAAGCATTCGTTTCCGTATTCTTCAAACCACTTCACCCATTGTGCGATCCCGTTCGAAAGAATGAGATATTCTCACCTTGTCAGGGTCTGTCAGTTGTCTAACTATTCTCCATATAACAGCGATAGATCCGTCTGTCACACCTCTCGGTTTTTCATCTATCGTGGCCAAATATTTTAGCACAAACAGACAGGTGAACACATGGAATCAATTATCCATATTGGTTCAAGCGTTTCATCGATTGTTCTGCATGTTTTTTATTGGATATACGCCTTCCCGCTAGTCAGGGGACTTTCGTTCTTGACAGCATTTGTGATTCGTTGGAAGTTGTAGTCCGTCACACTCGAGAGTTATACTTTTCCCCCACATCATCAGTGGCTTCCACTGAAGGAAGCAGCTCGACCAAGAGGGCTTCCGACATTTCGGGGGATGTGCTTCAAGTTCCAGTTGGCTACTGTCCTGTTTCATCGGTTTTCGCGCCGCTGTTCATCCTGAATTATAAAGGATTGCGTAGCTTGCTGGAAGGTCAACCGATTTCGACATTTCCGGTCAATCCATAAACACGTTCGGGAGTGATTGGAAGTCTTCTGATCTTGATCTACGCAACAGATTGTGGCAAAGTTTCACCGATTCCCAAACCTCCACGATTGCGCTCTCGACTGAGGAGTTGATAATGATCTCAGTTACATGTAGCTTACGGTGGAACATAGCAACGACGTTGCTTCACTCAAGAGTAACTCGGAACATCTTCGCGTCGTTTACCACGCCAACGTAATCAGGCCACAAATCAACATAAACAAGGCAGTGAATTTCCCCATCGTGACTACTTCTCACGCTGGGAAGTACCTTGGTTTTCGCACTTTCCTGATGGACAGGCTAAGGATACTAAGCTAAACTTCGCCCCGTCCTTCCGTATGAATAAGGGACCCGGTCAATAAAATGAAAGAACATTTCTGAAAACTAGTTTAAAACTAGCAGTTTTCGGTTTGCCGGTGTTTTGGCGTTTACTGACCGGCCATCAGTGTCTAGCGCCGGGATCGAATTTGGACTGCACATGCCTGCGCATGGAAAGAGGCCAGACAGTTTGTCCCGAACCGATTTGGCACTACGCACAGCCATTTGATGCCGGCGTGAGCCCTGTGAAACAAGATCGGTGGACGATCACGTACAGGCCTATCGCAAGCCGTCAGCGGCCTATACATCGTGACATAACTACGACCACCAGCACTAATTACCCGTTTATTATCGAGATACCAACGTCGTCCGTCAGTTGCTTTAAGTATCAGCGTAATGTCACACCTCCTCGGTCAACACTATGTAGGTATTACTGGGAGTCATCCATTAGCAAGCCATCATTATGATAACCTGAAGGTATTCCATTAACTTCTGGTTGAATGTTTACACTGAAAATGTTGCCTCTAGGTCCATTAAGTCGATTTGACTTGACTGACCTTGTCACCTTTGACTATGCTGATAACCTGGGAGGTTCATGCCACAATTCAAGTTCAGGCACTTTATCCCAGATACGCGCTGGGCGCCATTCACTATGTTCTCGCAGATATGGTTTGTTGGTTTGGGTTTTACAGCAGAACTTATGAATATCCAGCGTATAAACTGAGACGAATTTCCAGACCTTGTTTGGAAACTGAAAGTCATTCGTTTGATTTTTTTGATTTTTTTGTAATGAACGCGGAAAGATGACCAACATGCATTGACGTGTCACCCTGTGTCCCATTTCTCAGTGCTGTGTTATATGGTGTTGACCTACTGCGAGGACCAGCGGTTTTTTCTTCGGAAATCACTAGGCCTTCCTTCATAGGGTGCGTCAGCTGTAAGTGCAGCTGTTTTGATGCTTGAAAAGTTTTGTCTGTGTTCAGGTCACGTGGCGTAATAACATCAACGTCTGCGGACGCTTGCGCGTATACACACAAGCGGAGAGACAGCACAGCACGCTCGCACACCAGACACAACTCACCTCCGTGTCCGTCAAACCTTAGCGACCAATCATCAATCAGCAAAGCCAGAGACACTGATGAAGACAGCTGTCGCTCTGTTTGGTCAGATGCTGTCCGAAATGTGTGTGGACGTCTGTGTATGTATGTGGGACGGCTGCTCCGCTCCGCATCAGTGTCTTGACACCTTGTGTGTGTGTGTGTGTGTGCGTGTAGGGTTTCGCTAGTAAACTGGACTGCTCAACAGCGTGACGCCAAAGTGGCTGCACTCGAATCCTCACCAGCACCATTAACGCTTCACCCCTTGTATGGGACCAGATGCTACCAGTTCGGCTGTGCCTGCCAGCGTGTAAACCCCAATCACCAGAAGACCCGTCAAACCGTGTCACACGCGTCTCACAACGGTGCCCAATCCGAAAGGTGCTGTTAGGACTGTATGTAGCTGCTGGTGCTACCGATTACAGCTCGGTACGCCAGTGACGTCTGTGCATCGGTACACTTCTGGTTGGTGCGAACAGTAATTGCAATTTGTCCGTTTGTACGCCATCACCGAAATTACACGCACACGCACATACACCGGCCCACCTCACTTTACTCATTCAACATCATCAGAGAGATAGAGAAAAACATCGTGAACAACAGTACGCAAGTGGAATTTTCTACATTGCAAAAATAGCATCCTCCAACCATCCATGCAGACAGCTTCCGTGTTCTGGTTGACGAGGGACCTATCAGGTGGAAGGTGAGTAATTTCGAATTAGAGAGTTTTTTGTCGATTCAGTAAAAATGCTACCTACATGCAACATGATGGTACTGGCGTCCTAGTATATTACTTTTACGGTCTATCATCCCCTTGGAAACTTCTTCCGATTACAGGATAGCGTCTGATTCTGCAGTTGTTTAGTGAATGACAGTATGGTGGGAAAACGAGACTTGTTGAATTATACCTTCCTGATGTCCAGAAGATTCCTCCGCTGGATCATGTCGAGGAAATGCCGTCACGTGAGCGCTCACGTGAACTTGTCCCACGTTACTGTTGAAACTATCCCATACTTTTGCTGGTCGGAGCAAAATCTCTCATGGTCTGTGGCGTTTTGTTTTTCGATGGGATGCGGGATAGGGCGAGAGGCAGTTATGGGGTTCGTAGAAAAGTTTTCACTTTGCTCTCCAACCTACAGCTAGCTGGGAACCATTTCTCGCCTGGTTATCGTTTGGCAACCGAGGTGGGATTTTCATCCCCCCTGTGATGTTTTGTTCCGTTCTCAATAGATACCACTTCAGCGTAACAATAGTTCTAATGAGTTGTGTTCATCTGGTCACTCTTCAGAGTCGCGAGGTTTTCAGATGTTAGGTCCATGTCTCGGTAAGGCAAGTAGTGACAGTCAGACTTCCAAAAATACTTTCCACTCCAGAGATCCTTTTAGTGTCTTTCTTTCCGTTCTTCTAAGCCAGACAAACATTCGGCCGCAGTTGTTCTGCGTCCATACATTGTTTTTTCCCTCCACTTGGTCTGTTAGTTTTTGGTTTCCTGCGGTACATCAACCAACCAAGGAATGAAATAAGGGGTTAAACCATATTCCAGGTTGAATTGTCATTTAATCTGCTATGTTCAGTCTTCAAACAAGTGACCTCAGTCTTCAACAGGTGACCCTGATAAACACTCGAAAGGACGAAGCTGTCGATGAGTTTCCAGCAAACTTACAAGTAGTGTATGCTTTGCCAAGACAGAAAGTCGAATCAGTAACTCAAAGTTCATCAGCATCTGGGGCATTCTGAATTTTCAAATAAATAAATCACTCCACCAAACGAAATATACGATTTAAAGTGAAAACAATGTCATCCAAGGTTTGTGTATTGGAGGTTTTCGCCACCAAGAGTATATCTCTAGACCCTACCTTCAGAAACCTTTGATGATGGGGTCGGTTTTCGAAGCCTGAATGCCTTTCCCACTCCACCCACGCAGTCGATCGATGGCAGTGTTACACCTAACCTGCGTCGAACTGTATGTGAACTGTGTGCAGGATCAACGCCAGATTTCCTCTTTTGGGTCTTCACGTTTCCCTTCTTTTTGTAGGTCTTTGTTAGGTGATCATCTTCAACAAAATCACTAGGTCGTTTATTTCCAATATCGTGAATCAACTAATATTCTCAGTTGCATCCTACAGCCGAACTGTTGCAGCCTGGCTAGTTTATCAAATTGCTACCCAGAACAATAGTCATATCCTCCTTCTCACAGTCACCAAATTGGAGAGAATCTGCGCTACACAAACCAAGTTTGGTCTGCATGAGTTGCCTGAGGTGACCGGAATTCAATTACTTATTTTAGTCTCAAGATCGATCGGTGGACACGACTGCACGCATGAAATGAGGATAATTCACACTGCACAGATATTCCGCTTCGACAGGATGTTCTCTATCCCACCGTGAACGGGTTATCCATTTCTAGTTGTCCAAATTTCGTATATTCATAGTAAACTGTGTGGCAGTAGAACGCCATTTGAAAAACTGATCAATACAACAAGCACACCGGTAGTATACCAACGCAGTGCGTGGGGGCAAACCGCAGCATGCCCCACCTGATGTGGCCGATTCCTAAGCATACGACACCAAGCCTCACTTAATGGTGTAGATGTGAAAAAATGGGTGTCTTTGAAGTCTGACAGGGGTATCAGATACATTTGGTCTTTAAACGTGATTTGTTTATCCCAGTGGACCTAACTTGTCTGACAGGCCGGGAGACAGTTCACTTTTTCAGTCGCCTCGTGTTTCAAACGGAACACAACCTGCCCTTGGTCACCTGACAAAAGTCACCAGGTCCTTAACGGGCGGGAGAGGGTGGAATGCAGTTAGCAACCACAGTGGTATGAATCACAAACGCAAAGAGGAACGCCATAGTCTTTCTCTAATGGTCAAGTACCAGACTAACGACTGTTGTTAAGATGGCCAGACGTCGAAAACTGTGCTCCTGATGCGGTGATATTTGGTCCTCAGCAAGGTTATGGCGAATGGTCCGACCAATTACGACCCACTTGTGCAACCAGATAGATGTAAAGGCAAAATTCAGAAGCCTCCTCGATTTCATGAAATCATACCGCGGACCTCTGATTCACAGCAGACAGTCCAAACTTAGAACCGTGTCTTTCACGATGTTAGACTGTTATGATGGAAGAGTGCCCGTCATGCCATAATTCATTACCCCATTCTACTCCAGAAGAAGAACACCATCTGATGAGGCTGGACGTGATTCTCATCATCATCATCATCATCATCATCATCATCATCATCATCATCATCATCATCATCATCATCATCATCACCATCATCATCATCATCATCATCATCATCATCATCGTCAGCTGTCATAACCGCGTACTCGTCGTACAGTGGTTGTAGCTGCCGCAGTTTCATTCACTGCACAGCCACCGATGTACATCCACAAAGCAGACGACGGTTCTGCTGGGCCAGGTTTAGACCACTGACATGAACTGCTTCAGGTTAAATTTGTCAGCTTCATCCTCCTCGGCTGTACATACCCCATTCCATTTAAAGCTCCGATAATTTTTCGCTCCCACTTTACTCAAAATTTCCGAGAGTCTAATTTTTCCGCTACGCCAACAACATCTCACCATAAACAGCACTTGGGATTACAAACGAAAAATCTATCAACATTGGCTTGTCCACCTTGGGTTGCGAAACACACAAAATCCACCCCAAACCCTCTCGGCTGTTCCCACATCATGGTCATTGCCCATCTTGGCTTGTCTTTTTCAGACCAACAGCTGGGCAGTAGTCACACCGGGGGAAAATGTCAGTCAAACCTATCATCAATCAAACAGAGTTACACTACAATAGCTCTGTGTTAGTCGCATGCATGCATCAGCCCATACAAATCCATGCACAACGCGCTCACTGTGTCACTCTGGGTTGTTACCATGACGATTTAACGAAGTGATTGATCACTTGTGACTGCTGTTTGTCTTGGTGATATTGAGCACGATGGGGAAACAGTCTTATTGGACACCCAGAGCACCGAAACTGAAGGATGAAAAAGACCAATAGTTTCCCAGGACTGACAACATCCACTGCCACTTACGATTTTTGAAAGACGGTCGCTGATTTTTCACAATTTTACACGTTTAACTGGCCATCAGTTGATTTGCACCCCTTAGTTACACCTTAGTTACATTTTATTGAGTTCAATCATTTTCCGCGTGCTCTTGCTCCGCAGAAACTTTTCAACAATTTACTTTTAGTTCAATCCTGAATGTGAATTTAGTCTTTTTTTTTCTTGCTCTGCAGAAACTTTTCAACAATTGACTTTTAAGTTCAATCCGAATGTGAATTTAGTCTTTTTTTTGAAGAGTCGTGAAGCACGTTGGAATTTGCCAACTTCCGGTGAGCAGCTAAAGTCCACAACAGACTAATCATCCGAGTATCTATCTAACCTACGGGAGTGTATCTTGTTGGAGCCGGAAATTCCCCTGACTTTTCGCGATCACCCCCCGGATCAATTTTCATGAAGCAAAATGACCTTGCTTTGAAGGTAGCTCGACAATGATCTGTCCGATAAAGAAATGTTTATCAAAGCAATTTAGAGATTTAATTAATTATGCTGACAAATGACAACCATCTGGGCATCTTTTAGTCAAAACGGTGCTTCCCGACTGTATGGGCCTTGATTCCCTTGCCTAATTAAAGGTAAAAGTTTACCTGGATGCAAATTGACGTATCGATCCATGACAGTACTTGTTAATTTGCCATTATGACGAATGTTATCAATAACATCGTCATCATCATCATCATCATCGTCATCATCATCATCATCATCATCATCATCAACATCATCAAAATCGCACACGTCATTCTTCCACCTGTTGTCTACTGGGTATATTTGTATGCGTCGGCGTGAATCTTTCCACCGATGTCGACGTACACAGCACAATGTTGAGCGATCGCAATCAGGCATCCACATCATGTATGTATGTGTGTGTGTTTGTTTGTATCATATTTCCATCGTCCAATCACTCACCCGTTGGTTCCATCCTCATTCATGCATTCATCCCGTCCAACTATTCAATCATTCATCCATCTATTCAAACTTGGCTCCGTCACACCTGTCCATATCAACCACTCAACTACGCTGTATAAACAAAACACAGGGACCCGGATGCACACACACCTACTAGTACCAACCAGTAAGCATTTTGTGGTAGGTTTAAACTGGTCATCTGCTACTGTGCGGTTCACGTGAGGAATAAGATCCATTACTGTGTAGTTTGGGAGCTGCACGACTTTTATTGCTGTCGTCCGTTCAACTGCTCGTAGCCTTACATCCACTTCTGTTTAGTTATGCACCCATCCTTCCCTCCGAATTGAACGCATCCTCCCCTTGGATCTCCTCATTTCAGACTCGAATCACTGAAGACAGCCACCGCCCACAAGCTATGAAAATGATCACCATTCACGTAAAGCTTGTTGAATTCACCACAACTCTCCCGCTCCTCTCGCTTCTACTCTTGGAATATTTATTGATTTTAGGTAAGTCTCTTGAATCTGGCTTATCGATTCGTGGAAATATTTAAAAATGTTTATGGAGCTAAAAATCCCAGTGGTCAAAACCGCTCACATTTTCCTTTCTGGTCACTCGGTGTTATAATTCTCAGTGATAATACCATCGGCGATCAATATTGTACAAACTTTCAGAAATGTTTCTGTCTCAAACCGAAAACTATAAATTTTCGCATCACAGTTAGACACCTGTCAAGATGAACATGCCGGTTAACGGACAGATGAAAATACGGACCGTTTCGAGTTCTGCCTGTTGCGTAAACGAGGGAACAATACCACTCATTTGGTGGTTTTGTTGCCCATACGCTCCGAAAAAAATACTGTCCATGTCGTGACTCACACGGATAAGTAAAATCAGTGTACGATGCCCAGCAGAGGGACTGGCGATGGACGAACCCTCAACCCTCGCATACACACAGAGAGAAATACACAAGGGAAACAGGTGTTCAGAAGGCACGCGTCACATTGTCACAGCATGTCACATACTGTTATCTACTGGTAGAGGTATTCACCTGCATACTGGGTGTGAGTTTACTGTCCAAACGTGCGTAAACCATGACAGTTGGGGGCTCCATCCAGCACTACCAAAGCGAGTGTGTGCACAGTGATCTGTGAACAAACTGTCACGGACAGGTAGACATGACCACAGTTTGACAGGTGAAATCAAATACCCATTCAGAATGGATGAATATGCAGCAAGCCAATCGATTTCATCCTCTAGTTGGCTAAATAACTGACAGCAAAACAGAAGGATGCCAACCTGTAAACTCTGTAGCTGGTGGCGCATTTGAGTAAAAGTCCAAAACTGTCGCAAAACTTCCATACCGATTTCTAGACCAATGCAACCGGAGGTCGTTCAGAGCACATCATTTCTTAGGAACACGTGACCACTTAAGTTGTGAAGCTCAATCTATGTATGTTTGCATGATATAATGAGCAATAGGAATCACTCGGCTGAAATCCACATTATCCCCTTTAATACACTACTGGTTACTTACCGGTTAATGGTGAGGTGCGGCCATTTTCTTAAGTGGATCTCTCGTACACTCACGCAGTTACATGAGGTTGCACCTTAACTTGATATTGCCAATACATGAAAAGCAAACGTCAACCCAACGGCGTAGTGACGAGGTCACCACGATTCGCAACTAAATGTCAAGTTGGGCGAACAGACCAATGTCCATTATGACTTTAGAGCGATAGAACCCTCTCTTAGTGGTCCAGTAATTTGTCCAGCTTGTTTCTGGGTGAATGCGCTACTCTGTAAGACAAGACTGATGAACTTAGTCACTGAGACATGGCAACTTTCTCAATGATGCCTGCACTTTTAGGCCACCAGGCTAGAACGAGTTTTGTAATGTACCCATAAAGTTACTGAAAATCCATCGACAGCCCACGACCAGTTTCGCCCTTTTTGGGGCTCATCAGGTAGGCGCGGGTTTCCGTCAACCTTATGTTCCATTTAGAACCTGAAAAAATAAGGTTGACGGAAACCCGGGGACTGTGCCCACCTGATGAGCCCCAAAAAGGGCGAAACCGGTCGTGGGTTGTCGACGGATTTTCAGCAACCCTATGAGTAGTACATTACAAAGATATACATGTATCACGATATCTCGAATATCGTAGCGACTGAAACATGAGGCGGCCTGGTGCAGCACATTCGGTTGCCTGAGAACATCACAAACAAGAGATTCAGCTGGGTTCCAGGTGAGTCTCTCCGAAAGACCAATTAGTTTGCATGTGAGTGTATATTCCCAAGGGTCGTCAACTAGACCTACTCTGGTTGAAAAGCTACGCGGATCAAAAAAGCCAGGGCTTATTGGAAAGTGACGTGGAAAAACCGATATACGAAAGGTCCGTTGGCTACTATTCGTGAACACCGAGAGAGAGAGAGAGGTGAGAAAACTGAGAGAATGAAGGAACCGGCAATGGTGTTTTTCCCACCCCCCACACGCACACCATATTATACACATGTGTACGGCCTCTTTTCCATCGTGTTCAGACAATCGTTTTTTGGTAGAGTGAAATAAATCGGCTTGTGCGATATCCACAAGAGACCGAGCAACAGACCGAGGTTTTCAAACACACACACCGGTAGTTCATGTCCAGCCGGGTTTTTTGAACACAGAAAATCTCCTCGTTTTATGTTCATCCAAAAGTTGGCGAAAACATGTGCGCTCGGCTCTGTCGAAAAACGCACCAGGGAGTCAGTGTGCATTTTACGATTCCTTATTGCGTCCATTCACGCAATTCGCTCGCAACCGCTTCCACAGCGACCGGCCGATCCAACAGCTTCCTCTGAAAGTTGTTTACTCCCGAGTGTGTGTGCGTGCGTGTGGTACCTGAGCCTTTTGATAAGCTAGACCTTCTTTCCACCAGAGCGCTCCCGAACAACCAGCTGTGGATTACGTCAGGAGCGGACCTCATCGATTGTGGGTCTTTCAGGCAGCTTTTACGACAGATTACTTTACACCAGTCAATATGTGCGTGACTAGGTTCCGTCGAATCCATAAAAATTGATTTCAGTTGATGCGAAACATAAACAAGTTGATGTGAATTTGACTTCGGGAAATTTTTCACCTAAAATTGCACCGCAGAAGGACACCAAGGTGAAGGTAAAAGGCTTGCAACAGTGGATATTATACTTAGAGCTGTTTGGCCGTACGAGCTCGAACCCGGACAACTTGGCTGATACATTGCATCCCGATGGGCCCCACGTGCCCAAGCACTGGTGTCTTCCTTTCCCGACTAAGTTCTAAGTGCCCTGCCTGCCAGCAGTCCACCGCAGAAGTTTCTCTCTTTACCACCAGGTAGATAGATTTGTGGTAACTGAGCGTAAAACTCGGTTTCGCAATACCTATGCTTTTTCGTGGTCGACTCCGTCGTGAATAATTTGTCTTGTTGTTCTAACGCAAGTTCATTTGGGTGGCACAAGAGGATTCTCTTCATAACGAATGGGTCTAATGAAGTCGATAACGATAAACAGGTTCAGTACGAGGTTCTAGTCACGGACAAGCAAAAGTGCTGAATACCTGCTCGTTAGTGAGCTACACACGGTTGTGGCAAGTGGAGACTTTTCCCCAGTCTGTTCTATCAACGTGGTCCCAGCCTGAACACGTCAGTGTTGGCAGTATTATCTGGCTAATGGCGACATCAGACAGTGACGGCTTCCCGAATGGCTCGAAATACATATTCCACCTCGGGATAATTTGTCACTTCTCGCTGTATTGCATCGGCTGATTAATACCAAGCTTCATGTAATTTATGTTCTCCGGGGTAAACAAACACTCGATATACACACTAACAGCACCCACAAAATTCACCAACCGATTTTTTATGACACGATTAGACGGAGCATTTGGTTGTGCCCAAAGTCCTATTTCTGTTCCAATCACCACAGGTCAGTGTACAGAATGGACGGAAAAGCAGTTTCTACTCTCTTCTTCCTCCTCCTCCTCCTCATCATCATCATCATCATCATCATCATCAACGTCTTGATCAATCTGCTCCAGCTAATCAGATTTGGGCACGGAAAAGACATCCTCTTCGACAATGGATTGTTTGGCATACGCAATACATAGTCTA